AGAAAATAACAAGTATAGGCCAGGATGTGGGGAGATTGGAATCCGGGTACCTGGTACTTTGCTGATGGAAGTGAAAAATGGTCCAGCCACTGTGGAAAACAATAGGCGATTGTTCAAAAAGTTAAACACAGAATTGCCGTGTGATCCAGAAACTCCACTTCTAGGTATATATCGAAAAGAATGAACAATAGAGACTCAAACAGATATCTGTATACTCATGTCATAGCAACATTATTCATAGTAGCCAAGAGGTAAAAACACCCTAAATGTCCATCAACAGATGAATGGATAAATGAGTGTGGTGTATCTATACAATGAAATAAAACTCAGTCTCAAAAAGGAATGAAATTCGGACACACGCTACAATACAATGTGAGCTCTGGAGGCATCATGCGAAGTGAAAGAAGCCAGAAACAAAAGGACAAATATCGTATCAGTCTACTCACACGACGGCCCTGGAATGGACAAGTTCATGGAGAGAGAGTGGAATGGTGGTTGCTAGGGGCTGGGGAAGGCAAGAATGAGGAGCTGCGTGGTGGAGACAGAGTTTCCATTTGGGATGGTGAAATGTTCTGGAGGTGGACAGTGAGGATGGCTGCACAACATGATGAGCTATTTAATGTCATTGAGTTGTACACTTAATAATTCCTAGAATGGTATTTTGTGTTGTGTAGGTTTTTACCACATTTAAAAAAAAAAAAAAAAAAGTCTCTGGACATGAACTGCATAAGTTCAAATCCCAGCCCTGCTATTTATAGGACAACCATGGGCAACTTTCTCATCTCTCTGTCCCTTTTCCTCAGCTCTCAGATGAGGATTAACAATAAAACCCACCACACAGGGCCGCTGTGAGGGTTAGAGCTGATAAAATGCAGAGTGCTTGCAATGGCACCTGGCACACTGTAGGCACTCGGCAAATGCTGCCGTTATCATTACAGGCCACTAGCTACGATGTGACGCTTCCCTGGAAGTGATTTGCCTTTTCCACATTTCCACACAGGTATCCATCATTCCACTTTTTTTTAAGTGTACATAGATGCTATGTGCCAGACAGAACAAATTTAAAGTAGCAAATTAGATAACCCAATAATCATTATATGACTAATTTTCCTTGAAACACTTCCTCCACTACAAATCACAGGTGAATGCATCTGAAATTACTTAAAGGCGATGTGACTCCAAAAAGAAAAAGCATCCTCATATCTGCACAGCCGGAGACCAGCCCTGGATCAGACCACAGGCTCGGCGAGCCCCGCCCCGCCCAGCCCAGCCCAGAGCCGGCCACGGAGGGCCTTTGTGGCAGGGGGTGAGGGAGGTACTCACCAATCCAGCATTCCAAGCGTGCACAGGGCGTGGTCTTCACCACATCGGGAGGGTCCACACCAACATTCAGGCACAAAACTAAGGCAACACTGACTGTCTTCATCTGAAAACACAAATGAAAAAAAAAAATTTCAACATGGAACTCATGTATGCGTTTTTCCAGCTTTTAAAATGTCCCCCAGAACACTGAGCCCCTTCCCCAGCCACCTGCCCTCCAGCCAGTCCTCCACCTGACACCTGGCCACCCCAGCCCTGGTGCAGAGTAACGCCCTTCTTTGAAGGCATGGTTTCAGAGTAAGGGCTATGCTCAGGCTTCCTTATGATAAATCTCCAGAAATGGAATTATTTGATCAAAAGATATAAACATTCTAACACACTCAATACATTCTGCCGAATTCCTTTGCAAAAAAAAAAAAAAAATACACAAATTTATACTCCCACCAGATATTAAACCAGATAGAAAATCCTTATGATTTAAAATCATGAATCATTTAATGAGAAAAGCTGTCGTACTGATTGAGTTTACGTGCGTTCGCATCAGCGAGGCTGCCTGATTCTCCTCGCGTGCATTCACTGCCGGCACTGTTGACCCCCCGTGGACCATCTGCTCATTACTCGAACTCACACTGTAGCCTGGCCACACTGACCTCTTGACCCTCAAATCCATCGCTCCCTCTGCCGGGAGCTCCCCTCCGCCAGGTCGCCTGGCCGGCTCTGACTCTCTCCTTGGATCTCCGTTTAAAGATCAATTTCTTGGGGAGGCCTTCTCTGAATACCCCTCAACACACCTTCCACACTCCCCATCGGGTGGAGCCAGCTGGAGAACGCTGAGATCACACCTGTCCTTTCCTCCGGCAGAGCTGCAGCCTACGGACATTCCTTGCTGGGCCAGAGACTCAAGGCCACACTCCTTTGAGCAAGAAGCTGGCCCCGACCAGCTGCTAAATGTCCACTGAATGAGTGAAGACATGCAGTTTGTACAGTGTTTCTGCTTTACATTTATCCTTTAAGCCACCTGGATGTTATTCTGGTATATGACACAAAATGAGGATTAATTTTTTCCTCATACTGTGCCAATCCCTATGAAATAAGCTGCCCCAAACTCACAGGGGTGCACAGATACAAATTCTCAGAGAGAAAAATTCTATTTCTGGGTAAGCAAATTCATCCCACTGACCTATCAACCAATACTTCTACTAGTCCTACGTTAATTTAAATAATGCATCTTTATATTTCATAATATTTGGAAGGGTCATTTTTTTGCCCTCAAATTAAAAAAATTATTTAGCTATTTATATTCACTTTTTTCTTCAAATTATCAGTTCTTCAATCTTTTAATCCCATTGGGATTTTTATTTAAATTGCACTGAACTAAATTGCAATGAAGTTTAATTTGAACTTAAGAAGTAACATCCTCATAATATTCTATTTTCTATGCAGAACATAATATGTTTCTCCATTTATTCAAATGTTCTTTTAACTGTTCTCAGTAACATTTTTATTGTCTTCTTCACGAATAAGTCCTGTGCATTTCTTACTGAGATTGTTCCTAAGACCCGGTGTTCCACAGAACCGTAGAATGACTACAATTAACATTGGCTTAATTGACGGCACATTTCAAGCAGCTGGAACAGAGCTGAGTGTGGTGGTGCACACCTGTGGTCCCAGCTACTCAGGAGGCTGAGGCGGGAGCATCGCTTGAACCCAGGAGTTTGAAGGTACAGTGTGCAGTGACTGTGCCTGTCAACAGCCACTGCACTCCAGCCTGGGCAACACATAGCAAGACCCCATCTCTATAAATAAATCAATGAATAATTCTTAAAATACCTACAGGAAAATAATTCTAATGTTCCTAGCATAAAGAAAAGACAAGCTGGGCACAGTGGCCCACCCCTAGAATCCCAGCACTTTGGGAGGCCGAGGCAGGCGGATCACCTGAGGTCAGGAGTTCAAGACCAGCGTGGTCAACGTGGTGAAACCTCGCCTCCACTAAAAATACAAAAATTAGCCTGGTGTGGTGGTGTACTCAGGAGGCTGAGACAGGAGAATCACTTGAACCAAAGAGGTGGAGGCTGCAGTGAGCCGAGTAGCACCACTGCACGTGGTCTTCCTGTGGCCATGGTGAACAACTATCAACACCTGCCTCACAACAGTTTTAAATCAAGGGTGTTTCTTTCATGCTCTGTGATATGGACAGGAATTGATTCAAACCCTGGAGCAAGTTCCAAGTTGCTTCCTAAAGAAAAAGGCTGACTTTGTTAACGGTCATCTGCAGGGTCCCTCTGTGGGAAGGGAAGCCTTCCAATGAGAAAACAATCTATACGATCAGGTTCTCTAATTTTCAAAATAGACCTGTGCTTCCCTACAGCTTAATGGGCTCCCAACTGGCTTCTTATCTTGTCCCTAATCTGCAAAGAGAATATTCCCTAAACTGAGGTCAGTTTAGGGAATATTCAAAATCCAGTGGAAGGAACAGCATTAACAGGCCGACTCTGAGACACCCACCTGCTCCTCCCGTGGCCAAGTGCCACAGCCGCTGCCCTGGGGCTTGGCTGGCAGTGCTTTCTCCCCATTTGTCCACATGCTCTGTGCGCCCCAGGAAAAGGTGGGGGGAGCTGCTTTTCTGGGCTGATGTATGCTCAGTAGCTCCCCACATGACCGTGTTCTTTCTTGTGCCCCCGGAAATTCACAGCCAGGTTTGGGGCTCAGTCCCCGCACTTCTGATCAATGCTGACCTCCCTTTGCTAACGTGCTTGTTCCCTGAGCTGTGCAGTATAAGCACACAGTCTACTTCATCCTTCACCAAAGGGCCATTAACTCGGCGGCGGCGTTCCACTAGGTGAGGCACCCGGGGAGTAAGGTGGGGCAAGTCCAGGAGCCAGCAAGTGTGGCAGCCAGGACTCAGGCAAGCTCCCCAGGGGAAGAGGCTCTGCAGCTGCTGGGTCTGCTTGCTCCTCTGCCTCTCGGGGCTGGGGGTGCTGGGGAGGTGGGGGAGGCTGACACAGGGCAGTGATGTGCCATTCCCAATACCTCTGACTTTATTCCTATTTCTGTTATCTCGGCTGTCGTTCTAGACAAGTCATATTCCCTCCACCTCTACAAATGCAGCTAATTAAATTTTTAGAATTTAACATTCTCAGTAAAACAAATAGTTCTAGTTAATAGTAAAAAAATATCTCTGAAGATCTCTGAGTCCCTTACACAAAAGTACTAACAGAAGCCCGAGAATCATTCTTTAGTCCCATGGGATAGCTAGAGGCCTCACTTCACTGTGCCTGTCAGTAAGTACGGTCTTCCTGACTCACCAAATGCTACTTAGAGAGACCATTTCTCTTTGACTTCTTTACAGGCCAGCAATAGGAAGGCACGGCCCTCAGCTAGAAGGTGTGAAATTAGCTACACTATATAAAGACAAGAATGAAGACAAAAAAGAAATTAATTTGATTCATCCTTGTTTACATAATACACACCTAACCCTACATACTGCATTATACTTTTAAAGAAAACAAGAAAAACACCTCGAGAAAACATTAACACATGAACTAGAAATGTGTTTGTTCTAATATCTAGCTACCAATTTAACTCCAAAACTGAGCAAAAGACAGTACAACCACATATCCTTAAGCAAAAAAAATACGCCTTGCTCCTCTGCCAATTTTAACACTGTGAGCCTAATTTCAAATTTGGTAAGTTTTTTGTTTTGTTTTTTGAGACGGACTCTCACTCTGTTGCCCATGCTGGAGTGCAGCGGCGCGATGTCGGCTCACTGTAACCTCCACCTCCTGGGTTCTGGTGATTCTCCTGCCTCGGCCTCGCAAGTAGTTGGGATTACGGGTGCACATCACCGTGCCCAGCTAACTTTTTGTATTTTTAGTCCAGGCGGGGTTTTGCCATATTGGCCAGGCTGGTCTCGAACACCTGACCTCAGGTGATCTGCCAGCCTCGGCCTCCCAAAGTGCTGGGATTATAGGTGTGAGCCACCATGCCCAGCCTCAAATCTAGTAAGTTTTTAAATTCTTACCTATAGCTAAAATGTCTTTCTGGCATTTTATTTTCATTTCTATGGCAACTTCATTCCAAAAATTCTTGATTAATGTTTTTTAATAACACAGTTACAGGATTTTTAAAATGTAAGGGCTATCAAATTTAATGTGCCAAAAACAGCATAATATTACATAAAATACGTTTTTTGACTTTCAAACATTTTCCTCCAATGCAATGTAATTTAAGACGACATGGTTAGATCCCCATAGGTTAATTCTGAATTTGAAAAGAACATCATTTTGAAAAAGTATAAAAGTTAAGTGCTCACTAACAACGAGTGGCCTTGGGCATGTCGGTTAATTTCAATCCCTCCTGAACAATTTCCTCCTCCTTAAAGTGAGGGGGTGGAGACAGATGACTTCTTAGGTGCTAAGGATTTTTCAGATTCTATAGTTCTGCCTCATGACTGGTCTTCCCGGCCAACCTGGAGGAACCCCTCAGGCCAGAGCACACGCCTAAGGATTCCGTGGCCCAGCTGGAAGGTCTCCACAGCACTCTGGAGTCCGGGTGGGAGAGGCTGGGGGCCGTCAGGCAGGGGTCCGGATGGTATTATAACAGCCTGGGCAGTTTTCTTGATGATTCTTTGGTGCCAGTTTGGTTTTGAAATTCAAAAGCGTTCAGTTTGGTGAAAGGATAATGTGATCGCTCTGCTCTCTCTCACATAACACACCCAGGAGGGTTTGGAGCGGAGCCCAGCACTCACAGCGTTAATACTTCCAGTCCCCGTGGAATCAATAGAGCATCCAGTCTCACCCCAGCTCAGGCCAAGCTTTGCCACCAAATGATAATCCAGCGTTCAGAGCTTCTGGATTTCAGAATTGCACACAGGGCCTGTACAGCAGAGGACCTCCGCTTGAAGGCCTGGACGTGCAGAACATGTCACCTCACAGGTGAAAAATGTACTAATGCCTGTCACCTTCCAAAGAATTCAAATCACAAGGGATTTTCTTAATGAAGTCTTCCTTCTCCACTGATTGGATAAAATCATATATATTTAAAAAGATACAGGTGACCAGGTGGTACAAACAAGCTCGACTATAAATTCACAGACTGACGTGT